TCATAAAATAAACTTTCTAAAAAAAAATTGGAAACTTTAGCCATTATATATACTAAATTATGTAAAGACCTAGTTTTTTAGTTGTGTGTCTTAAACTGATTTTTCATTTAGACCATTTATTGAGGGTAATCAGAAAAGACATGGGGTTGTCACATTTTTATTTAGAAGAGAAGAAAAAAGCTTCCCTACTGAGTTAATTCTAAAAGAGCAGGAAAAGACAAAATAATGAAATGTTCTGATTCCATGCATGAGTCATATTTGTTCAAAACAAATATAAGAAGTCAGAAAAGGTTAACATACTTTACAGAATGATTGCAAAGAAAAAAAAAATAGGTTACATAAAGGATCAAGAATAAGAATAACACCTTAAGGAAAAAAACTTCTCAACCAGGGTAGCCAGAAGACAGTAAAACAATGTCTTCAGAATAATGAGGGGAAATAGTTTCTATCTAGAATTCTATGCCTCCATAGTTTATAGGCATTGACAGAATAAAAATAGTTTCTGATATCAAAATATTCTCCCCAAATATTACCTCCTACTCATCATTCTTTCTTTCTCAGGAAGCTACCAGAGGATATATTTCGCCAAAATAAGATGTATTAAAAGACATGGTGGGGGGCAGGGGCAGTAGCAGGTGGCATGGTGATTAGGGTGCTGAACTCTCACATATCTGACTATAGTTCAAGTCCTAGAACTGGCAACTTTCTTTCTCATTTTCCCTCTGTCTGTCTGTCTGTCTGTCTCTGTCTCTCTCTGGTGAATACACATACCCTATAGAAAATTATTTTAATTTATATATTTTCTTTCTTTTGGGGAGAGGTTTTGGTTATAGAGCGCGTGCGCTTGCCAGAAAGTCAGAGAGAGACAGAGAGACAGAAAGCGAGAAATCACCCCCCAAGAGGGATGGCCACGCCACAATCCCTTCTCCTCCATTCTCCTCTCGGGATCTTGGGCACATACGCACCCGTGCCCGGCGTGAGTTTTAAACCACCAGGTCCAGGACGTGAACTGTGGTCGACTACATGGGAGTCCAGCGACATAGACATTACACTAACTGCTGGTCCCTTAATTTATATATTTTAATTTGTAATAATAATAAAATTAAAAAAATAATTCTTTTTTAAAAAATAAGACATGGGATCCAGGAAACAGATAATCCACAGAGGGAAACAGTAAAAGGAATCCCCAGGGATACTTCTGGGATAACAGAACAGAATGGTAGCTACTCCATAGGAAGGATACCATTTTAGGTTGGAGAATAAGCACAGAAGTCTCCTTGGAGAACTGTCTCCAAGGGGGAGGGGAAGGGAAGAAAGAAACTGACTTACCACAAAATGTGGTAGACCATTTTCAGAAGGATTTCACAGTCAGTTAAATAAATAATAATTACAATGAAAACTAAGCTAATAAAAAAGGCATTCAAATGTTAATACCAGGAAAGAATTTATACAAAAAGTATACACAGTAATGGTAACAATCATGACTATATCTCCATGTGTCAGACACTGTTCTAAATACTATAATATTGTCTAAATCCTCATAGAAACACTATAGTGTAGGCACTATTATTAGGCCTATTTTGCTGATAAAGGTAAAGAGGGGGGCCCAGGGTGGTGTGGGTGGTTAAGGCACTGGACTTCCCACATGGCCAACTGTGGTTTGAGTCCTGGACCTGGCAGTTGGCTTTCTCACACTCTCTCTTTCTCTGTCTATATGTCTGTCTTTCTCTGGTGAACTCATGTGAAATAATAATAAATAAAATAATTCATTTAAAGAAAGAGGGGTATAGAGAGGTTAAATAACTTGAGTACCATATTGCTAATAAATACCTCAGCTCAGATTTGAATTAAGCAGTCTGACTGCAAATTTTATGCTTTGCTTTAAACACAGTTTGCCACATGGCTTAACTTTGGGCAATATGTGCATGCTTGTCAACGTGCACACACTGTATATTGATATAACCTGTAATTACGACATCATTATATTTTGAGAGAATGGTGAGGGGAACCATGTCAGGGGTGAGTGGGGCAATGATAACATTTCTGAATCTCATCTTCCTTGATAGAAAGTTGATAAGTTTAAAAAAATTTTAAAACTTTTTCTCTCTATCTCTGTCTTGTGTGTGGGAGCATGTAGCCTCAGACATTAAAAAAAAAAAAAAAAAAAAGGTTGGGGCCAGCAGGTGGCATGATGGTTAAGGTATTGGACTTCCACATGGCTAAACAGTTTGAGGCCAACACACCAGCTTGAAAATCATGCTGGGTACATATGCATGTATGCCCAAAATCCTGAGAGCAAAATGGAAAAGAGAATGCGGCATGGCCATACCCCCAGGGAGGTGTGATTCCTTACTGTCTCTCTCTCTCTGTCTCTCTCTGGTGAGCAGATGCACTCTATGACAAAAACCTAAAAAAAAAAAAAAGTCAATTAATCGCCCAGTCTAGTAGTGCAGCTGGTAGCACACTGAGCTTCAGAACTAGAAGGTACATGGACTCTCTGGGTTTGGATTCCCACAATGGTCTAAAATAAGCCAGATGCAAATGTACATGCCCAAGGTCCTGACGAACTGGAAGGCAGGGGATAGGGGATTACACTATGACAAAACCTTGTTTAGGGTGCTTTTCTCTCTCCCATACATGCTCATGCCTCCTTATCATAAATTAGATAAATACATTTTAAAAAAATAATTAGGTCCAGCTGAGGTAATGTGTGCTGCTAAAAAGTTATGTTCCACAGGCTTATGACCTTTGGGGAGTCCAGATTCGATTCCTGGTCCAACCCAAAGGCTGGTTTCAGTAGTGTGGGTCTGTAATATCAGTGACTCTGGGGGACTGAGACAGAAGGAGCAAAAGGAGCTTGAGGTTGGTCTGGGCAATATAGCAAGACCCTGTCTCAAAAGGAGCCAAGTATGGTGTCACATGCCCATAAAAATTAAGGCAAGAGGATCAAAAAATTAGAAATGTTGGATAAAGGTAGGAAAGGATGGCAGCTGGTACTGAAATGGGTGCAGCAGGCTCTGAGAAAGAGCACTGCTGGTCTTCTCATAACCACCCACTGGGGCTTGGGATACAGCTTCCTGGACCGTACCTTCTGCACCAAACACCTCTCCACAGTGAGAGCAGAAGAAGTGCTCTGGGTGCCAAGTCTGGTTCATTGCCGTCAGCACTTTCTGGAAAAGGAGCACATGAGAGATATGAGGATGCTGCAGAGATGAAAGTGGAGTGAGGGGAGATTTACTTACATCCAGGATGGGAGCAGCACAGTAGGCACAGCGTGGAGAAAAAAGGTGGTGGTAGTCCTTGGGGCAGTAGGCCAAGCCATTCCGTTCAAAGAAGGGACTGGAGCCAATCTCTTCTTTGCAGTGAGTACAGATGAAGTGCTCCGGATGCCAGGACTGTCCAAGAGCGTGGATCACCTAAGGGATGACATAAAGCCTGATACGGAGTCCAGTTGAAGGCTCGAGGGTCTACAAGTTGTACAACTCTAGTGGGCACTCTTCACACTGTATTCCATGTAAATCCCTGAGTTACACAACATTGAGACCCAGATCTAGGTTCTCCTAAGGCAGTCTGTTGTCTGCACTTTATAGAGAGCAAAAAAGTGCCTACTTTCTTGACTGATCACTCTGAGGAAAGCCTGTACTCTGCTGTGTCAGAGGGTGGTGGAAACAATACATTCATTTAAAGAAAGAGGGGTATAGAGAGGTTAAATAACTTGAGTACCATATTGCTAATAAATACCTCAGCTCAGATTTGAATTAAGCAGTCTGACTGCAAATTTTATGCTTTGCTTTAAACACAGTTTGCCACATGGCTTAACTTTGGGCAATATGTGCATGCTTGTCAACGTGCACACACTGTATATTGATATAACCTGTAATTACGACATCATTATATTTTGAGAGAATGGTGAGGGGAACCATGTCAGGGGTGAGTGGGGCAATGATAACATTTCTGAATCTCATCTTCCTTGATAGAAAGTTGATAAGTTTAAAAAAATTTTAAAACTTTTTCTCTCTATCTCTGTCTTGTGTGTGGGAGCATGTAGCCTCAGACATTAAAAAAAAAAAAAAAAAAAAAGGTTGGGGCCAGCAGGTGGCATGATGGTTAAGGTATTGGACTTCCACATGGCTAAACAGTTTGAGGCCAACACACCAGCTTGAAAATCATGCTGGGTACATATGCATGTATGCCCAAAATCCTGAGAGCAAAATGGAAAAGAGAATGCGGCATGGCCATACCCCCAGGGAGGTGTGATTCCTTACTGTCTCTCTCTCTCTGTCTCTCTCTGGTGAGCAGATGCACTCTATGACAAAAACCTAAAAAAAAAAAAAAGTCAATTTATCGCCCAGTCTAGTAGTGCAGCTGGTAGCACACTGAGCTTCAGAACTAGAAGGTACATGGACTCTCTGGGTTTGGATTCCCACAATGGTCTAAAATAAGCCAGATGCAAATGTACATGCCCAAGGTCCTGACGAACTGGAAGGCAGGGGATAGGGGATTACACTATGACAAAACCTTGTTTAGGGTGCTTTTCTCTCTCCCATACATGCTCATGCCTCCTTATCATAAATTAGATAAATACATTTTAAAAAAATAATTAGGTCCAGCTGAGGTAATGTGTGCTGCTAAAAAGTTATGTTCCACAGGCTTATGACCTTTGGGGAGTCCAGATTCGATTCCTGGTCCAACCCAAAGGCTGGTTTCAGTAGTGTGGGTCTGTAATATCAGTGACTCTGGGGGACTGAGACAGAAGGAGCAAAAGGAGCTTGAGGTTGGTCTGGGCAATATAGCAAGACCCTGTCTCAAAAGGAGCCAAGTATGGTGTCACATGCCCATAAAAATTAAGGCAAGAGGATCAAAAAATTAGAAATGTTGGATAAAGGTAGGAAAGGATGGCAGCTGGTACTGAAATGGGTGCAGCAGGCTCTGAGAAAGAGCACTGCTGGTCTTCTCATAACCACCCACTGGGGCTTGGGATACAGCTTCCTGGACCGTACCTTCTGCACCAAACACCTCTCCACAGTGAGAGCAGAAGAAGTGCTCTGGGTGCCAAGTCTGGTTCATTGCCGTCAGCACTTTCTGGAAAAGGAGCACATGAGAGATATGAGGATGCTGCAGAGATGAAAGTGGAGTGAGGGGAGATTTACTTACATCCAGGATGGGAGCAGCACAGTAGGCACAGCGTGGAGAAAAAAGGTGGTGGTAGTCCTTGGGGCAGTAGGCCAAGCCATTCCGTTCAAAGAAGGGACTGGAGCCAATCTCTTCTTTGCAGTGAGTACAGATGAAGTGCTCCGGATGCCAGGACTGTCCAAGAGCGTGGATCACCTAAGGGATGACATAAAGCCTGATACGGAGTCCAGTTGAAGGCTCGAGGGTCTACAAGTTGTACAACTCTAGTGGGCACTCTTCACACTGTATTCCATGTAAATCCCTGAGTTACACAACATTGAGACCCAGATCTAGGTTCTCCTAAGGCAGTCTGTTGTCTGCACTTTATAGAGAGCAAAAAAGTGCCTACTTTCTTGACTGATCACTCTGAGGAAAGCCTGTACTCTGCTGTGTCAGAGGGTGGTGGAAACAATACAGACCCCAGTCATGACAGACAAGAAATAGTTACAGTCTCGGGATGGAAGGAACCCTGGAAGGGGAAAAGACCAAATGACCATTTCTATTCCTCTGGTCTGAAAACTTTACTTCACACCTACCTACCGCAGTCAGGTCTCAAAACCCTTTGTCAGGGCTTTGGCGAATGACAATGCAGAGCAAAAGTTTGCAGCTAATATCTGGAGCTCTATGCAGGTGAAAATTGTAGTCAATCAGTTTAGACCAGGAATATTTGAACAGTGAGAGCATGAGAAAGATCATCTTGGTAAGAGCAGTACAAAAATAAATTAAAAACATTTTTTTTTAATTTAAAAACTCAAATGTGGGAGTAAGACTCTCCTGGTTTCAAATCTTACTGTCTCGTACTAGACCATGGTATGTAAGTTAACATATCTGAGGCTTCAGTTTCCTTATCTCTACAAAAGGAACAATAATAGAGTCTCTTTGCTTTCAAATGTTCATGTGACCATTAAATGAGTGAGTATGTGCAAAGCACTTCACCCAAAATTCAAGAGCTGTAAGTGATTAGTATTTTTTTCTTTAAAATATTTATTTAATTCCATTTATCATTATTATTATTATTATTTTTACCAAGATAGAGAGACAGAGAAAGTGAGAAAGCAAGCTGCCAGGTCCAGGACTCGAACTGTGGTCAGCCATGTGGGAATCCAGCTCCTTCTAACTACCATGCCACCTGCTAGCCCCGTGATCAGTAGTTAGTAATGATTACTAAGATACCTTAGAAGATAAGGAGAAAGAACGATCCTTAGTGAGACAGAGAGACATACACACATATACAGGTGGCTATAGGACCAACATGTTAGCCCATTTACCTTGCCAGCAATTGGTTTCCGGCAGAAAGTACAGTGGCCCTTGGGTACCGTGGCAATCCCAAGGTCCTGCAATTCCTGCTCCAAACCCCCAAGCATTGAGTCCAGGGAGGTCTTCTGATCCTGCTTGTCTGGTGAGTGTTTCTTGCCAGCATCTGCTTTACCAAAAAAAAAGAAAGAACCATGAAGAGAATCAGCCACCATGTACTTTTATCCTGATTGGCATTTTCTGCACAACTCTATATACTCCTCTACTGACTGATGTCTTAGTCCTTCCCTATCCTTCATCCAAGGCACTGAAGGAATCCCACACTTTAACACTAATAAAAATGCCTTAATTTCCCTTTCATTCTAAGCTCCTCAGAGTAAATGAAATTTGACTAACCTTCCTCTATTTGTAAATCTTTTTTGACCATAGAAAATTGAATGCATAAAGATAATACCTTTTCTAGATCTTATGATGACCCCAGGCCAAGAAGTAGTCATATCTTCCCTTTATTCATTTATTCTGTAATATTTGTTAAACATGTAGTTTGTGTGAATCACTCCTCTAGGTGCTTGAAATAAAGCAATGTACAAGACAAAGTATCTGGCTTTATCAAATTTGCATTATATGCACTATATACAATAAACAAATAAATATATGGTAATAATGTCAGGTAGAGAAAAGTTATGTGATATGCGGACCTAAAATTGACAGAGGATGAGATGATGAAAATGAACTTAGATACGAGTAATCAGAAGAAAATATCTCCTTGGAAGTGATATCGAGGCAGATACTTGAGTGATAAACTTAAGGATCCACAATATTGAAATTTGTGGGGAAAACATTCCAGAGAGAGGAAAGACCCTGAGGAAGAAAACAGTTTGGCACATTAGGAGAAAATTCAAAAAGGTCAATGGGGCTAGAGCAGAAAGAGTGAGATTAAGAGTGGCAGGAGGAGATGATGGAGGGGCAAAGATTTCATAGGGTACTTGGCTAAAAGTTTGGGTTTTATTCCAAAGAAATGGAAAGCACTGAAAGATGTCGAGCATGAGAGTAAAGGAATTTGGCTTATAATATCCCTGTGGCAGCCAACTGAAGAATTAAGTGACGACGAGGGTGGATGGAGAGAAACTATTATATAATGACCTGGACCAGTGTTAGGGGAGAAGGTGGTGAGAAATGGTCAGATAAGACTTGCTGGCAGTTTGGATATATTTAAACTAAACTCCAAAATAATTATTATAAATCATTCAAAGGAAGATTCTCAAATTACAAAGAAACAATGACTAACATATCCATCGTCACTTCATATCCTGTCCAACTCTTTCTACTCCTTTCCAATTGGGTTACTGGTACTACGCACCTAATACTTGGTTGAGCAGAAAACTACAATGGTTTTTCATTACCTCCACATCAAATGTGCACTCATCAGACAGATGTTCAAAGATTCCAGTCTGCTGTTCTCACTTTACCTTTTCAATCTCATTTTTTATTACGTAGTAAAAGGTCTTCATTGTTCAATGCCTGCAGGGCTCCCTACAGTCTCCTGAATATGAATTGCTATTGTCTGTCTTTAAAGCTCTACTTACCTGTTTTTACTGCCTAGCAGAACCTCACATTATCTCACCAATCTAAATGCTCATTTTCTTTCAAGGAATTTTGGTCATCTGACAAATTTCCTTCTTCCTCTATTACATAATGTTGGTTTATGTTCAAGAGGTTAGCATTCAGTTAATGTCTGAATGGCCTGAAAGTGTGAATGATATTAAGTATGAAAAAGAACTAGTAAAAATACAAAACAATTTATGGAATTTTTATGGAATTAATGTGCAAATTTAGGAGCCAGCAGGTGGTATAGTGGTTAAAGAGGCTGGATTCCCACATGGCTGACTGTGTGGTTCAAGTCCTGGACCTAGCAGCTTGCTTTTTCTCACTTTCCTTCTCTCTCTCTATCTCTCTCTGGTCAATTTCAAATAAATAAATAAATAAATAAATAGATAGATAGATAGATAGATAAATAAATAAAATTATGACAATGGATAAAATTAAATAATATAATTCTTTTAAAAAGTGCAAATTTATATTGGTGCAAAAAAATTAGAAATGCATGTTTTCTCCATAATCCACATTTCATATGAATGGTTTGAAGATGCCTTGTATTTATATCTAATTCTACACCTAAGGCTCTTTGCTTGTATATTCCAGAATCCTTCTGAACAGAAGGAATAGAAACAGGAAACATTACCTCTAGGGGCAGAACATGGATGGCTAGGGGCAGCTGACAGGAAAACGGTTTAGTATAAATTATTTTTTATTTTTTATTTTTGTACAATGTGAATGTGTAACTTATTTGAGAAATATTTTAAATTAAAATTTTAAATAAACCAAGACATGTACCAAATCAATTCGAAAAACAGTACAACTAAATCTCCAAATGCACATTTTTTTCTAGCATTTTCAGATACATAGCACCATGAGCCAATCCACTCAGCTTCACTAAAGACATTAGCCCATCAAAAATGATCAGACATTAGGGACCAACAGTTAGCATAATGGCTGTGTCACTGGACTCCCACGTAGTTGACCGTGGTTTGAGTCCCGGACCCAGTGGCTTAAACTCACACTGGGTGCATGTGCGTGCATGCCCAAGATGCTGAGAGGAGAATGGAGAAGGGATTGCAGCGTGGCCATCCTCCCTGGAGGGTGATTTCTCGCTTTCTGTCTCTGTCTTTTGGGCGAGCACACGCGCCCTGTATCAAAAACCTCTCTAAACAAAAAATGGAAAATCATACATTAGGAAAAAAAAAAAAGAAAAGATCAGACATTAAGGAAAACTTGTTTGTGATGTGTATGCATCTGTCACTTTAATAAATATGTTACTCACTATGTGCAAGACACTGAGTGTGCTTGGCATTGAGTCCCACACCAAGACACAAAGATAAGGTCCTTGCCCTCCCTAGTTACATTCATTCTTATATACTGCCTTAAAATTATTTCATAGTCACTTCACAAGTATGTATCAAATCTTCTAAACAGATTTAGAATGCTTAGATTCTCTGCCTTAATAATTCTAGCTTATATGAGGGGTGGTGGGTTCTTCAGAAAGTTCATGGAAAATGCATATTATGAAAAAAACTGTGCATGGATTTAAAATTTATTTTTGCACTTAAATAAACTTGTCTTTGTCTATAAACTTTTTGAAATCTCTTTTTTTTTTTTTTTTTGAGAGAGGTTTTTGCTATATGGCGCGTTTGCTCACCAGACAGACAGAGAGACAGAAAGCGAGAAATCACCCCCCAGGGGGGATGGCCACGCTGCAATCCCTTCTTCTCCATTCTCCTCTCGGGATCTTGGGCACGCACGCATACGCGCCTGGCGTCAGTTTTAAGCCACCGGGTCCAGGGTATTTTTCTTAATAAGTCCTTAAGGTCACTTACCTGATTTTTATTCCCTGCCTGGCCATCTGAGCTCCCATGCATGCTCTGAAATAGAAAGCAGATTTTATCTCAGTATGTCATTGGGACTCTTAATCCTTCCTTCCTACTGTCAGAGTCACACCTTGGTCTCCCTGTTCTGTCTCTGCTTGTCCAACGGTCTCCTCTGTCCTGCACAGCTAGGTCTCTTTGACAGTCCTTCCACACCATCAAGCTTTAGGTGCTTTTGCCTCAGGACTCGCTCTACCTACCTAAAGGCACATTTCCTCCCATCTCTTTATCTCCAAGCCCCAGCCCCATCTCTTTGATAAAATCTCCCATAGCCCTTCCAGAGACATAATATTTGCTCCATGTATTTTGCAAAACCACCTGTCTTTTATTTATAAATGCTATAAAAGCTCATGCCTCAATTTACCAAGCATACTTCAAGTTCCTTAAGATCAATGCCAATATCATATTACCTTTTGTATCTGAATGACATATAGTATAAAACTGAGTTAATTCACTGAATTAAATTTCATCTGGGAAAGTGAATGACAATTTAGATGAATTGCTAAATTGGAAAATGTAGAACTGAGTTCCTCAAAAATAAACTAGTGTCTCCTTGGGCCCTACAGGCTTTATCATCTGGACTATACTCACCTTGGCCTGCATTTCACTTAAGTGGGCCATGAGCTCATCCAACTGGGCAGCTGCTGAGATTTTAGGAGGAGGTGGTGATTCCTTTGGCTCTTCAACCTCACTATAGGGTAAGAATATTTTAAAAATTATACAAAAAAATTATACTAACACATCTAAAGTCACATATGTGCAAGTCCATATAAAGTACCAGAAAATGCAATTTTCATTTTTAATCCCTAAGACATAAGTTTAAAACAGGAGACACAGAGCATTTTGGGGGAAAGATGTTTATATTTTTTTACTAGGACACATGCACTTGTCAGAGAGAGACAGAGACAGAGAGAGGAAAAGTGAGAAATCACCCCCAGGGGGATGGTCACCCCATAATCTCTTCTTCTCCATTTTCCTCTTGGAATTTTGAGCATGCATGCATATGCATCTGGTGTGTTTCAACCCACTAGGTCTAAGACTCTACTGCAGATGATTCAGTGCCTCAACCACCATACCACCTGCTAGCCTGATAAAGAGTATTTTAAAAATTAGTACTAGACTGAAAATCTAAACCAGGTCTCTCTTCCTTTTGTCTCTATTTCTCCCTGGTCATCTCAAAAAATAACCATTGTTCTCAAGTGCATGACATTGGAGAGTGCCAGACATGCAGCTGTCAGGCCGTTCTTCCCCAACTACCAGGAGCAAAGCAGACTCTGAAAAAAGCTTTAAAACCATAGCCTTTTTTTTTTTCCTTAATAGCATTCTTCTTTTGTAAATGATACAATACTGTATATCCTCTCAGTTATTATCAGGCAAAAAACAAACAGAACACAGAGTAGGCATAAACACATTGAGGTCTATGGGCCAAATTTGACCTTGTCTATTAATTTACCTACTATACACAGCTGCTTTCCTGAAATATTGAGTAGTTGTGGCAGAGACCTTATAGCCCAGAATGTCTAACATATTTACTATCTGATTCTTTATAGAAAAAGTTTGCAAATCTCTGGTACAGAACATTTAGATAATATATATGGTGATTGGTTTTATATTCATATAATTGTGAGTAAATTATGAATAAATAAAATTTTGGACCAAACAAAAATATATAAATTCTGTTCAAGTATTTGCACAGTCATTAGTAAAAGTAATCATGTATAAGGATACAAAATAAAGCTCAATACATTTTAAAGATAAAGTATACAGACCATAACCTTAAGCTACAGGGAGTAAAAGTACAAATCAATTGTTACAAAAAATATCCACTTAAGAAAATTAAAGCATTCCTGGGACCAGTAGTTAGAGTAATGGCTGTGTCGCTGAACTCCCATGTAGCTGACCACGGTTCGAGTCCCGGGCCCAGTGGCTTAAACTCACGCCTGGCGCGTGTGCGTGCGTGCCCAAGATCCCAAGAGGAGAACGGAGGAGAAGGGATTGCAGTGTGGCCATCCCCCCTGGGGAGTGATTTCTCACTTTCTGTCTCTCTCTGTCTCTTTCTGTCTTTCTGGCAAGCGCACGTGCCCTAAAGCAAAAAAAACCTCTCCAAAAAAAAAAAAAAAAAATTTAAAGCATTTCTAAATAATTCTTGAGATTGAAAAAAAAAATAGACTGAATTTTTAACCATTTAGAATAGCAATGAGAAAGCAAACACACATGCATGAACACATATACCCTAAGAGTTACAGCAAAATGTCAGTTAAAAAAATATATAGGACTTAAATGCAAAACTTAAAAAAAGGAAGATCAAAATAAACAAAATTTTCAACATAAGAATCTTATAAAACAAAGCTGACAGTGTTTTGGGGAGCGTAGTATAAGATTTCCAAGTACATAGAAGAATATGGAAAATTATTTAGTTTGTTCTATAAATGTCACAGAAATTTGTTACAAGTCAGACAGAGAAGTGTGAGTGTGTGTGTGTGTGTGTGTGTGGGCGCGTGAGTTTGAGGGAGAGAGAGAGACTTAAATAAAGCAGTGGAAATGTGCAGTTAGGTTGTTATTTATTTATTTATTTACAGTTTTTTGGTTGCCATAGGATACATGCACTTACTGGAGAGAAACAGAGAGACAGAAAACAAGAAATCATCCCCACCCCCCCAGAGAAAATGGTCATGCCACAATCCCTTCTCCTCCAGTCTCCTCTCAGGATTTTGGTCATGCACACACATGCACCTAATGTTTTTCAAGCTACTGAGTCCAGGACTCGAACCATGGATGCAAAACTAGACAAAACCAAATATTCTTTCACTAAATATATTTTCATAAATGAAAACGCAAATTTATTACCTCACTTATTTTTATGTATTTACCACCCAGGAAAAAATGTAGAAAGAAAATGGATCTATTTCTCTCTTAAGAAGAAAAGACTATCCTTATGGCACCACATGTCTTATTGCAAACATACAAGTATTAAACAAGCAAACTGTAGGAGGAGAATGGATGTCATTCTCATCTTAAGATAAAAGGTTTTGTCATTAAGGTAAAATATGGCCCTCTACCAGATGCAAGATTTTTTTTTTTCTAATATGAGAATGACAATGGTCAGCTATGCAAATGATTATGACAGGACTGTCAGCATATTCTATTGCCCTGCACTTAAGCACAGAATAAATGTAGATTCTTATTGGGGCCTGTATAGTCCTACAATCCTTCTGTCTCACAGATGGAGCATTCTTGTGCTTATTCCAAAAATTCCCAGTGGTTTGAAAATGGATAACTGTCATGATACCCTGCTAGTAACTGAGTCAACAATATTATATTCTAAGGAGGAAATGAGATGCCTTGAAGAGTCAATAATTACAAACTAAAGTATTGCTGAAAGAAAAGTTTCTGAAAAGGCAGGAGCCTCAAATTAGAGCCCTTTTGTCTCCTGACCTTTTGAAAATGATAAAAGTGCTTTATTATGTCATCAGCAAGAAGTTACTTCATTATGCAGAAATTTTAGTAATACAAGTCATAATGGTGCATTTAAAAAAAAACAGATTTCTTAAGGGTTATATGAGATTTTTTCCACATTTCTTCCTTTAATAATTTTTATGCATTGTTTCTCTCTAGTATTACCAAAATTACTATTTTTGTTCATGTTAAAGATATATTGCTGGGACCAGCAGCTGGCATAATGGCTATGTCCCTGGACTCCCATCTAATCGACTGTGGTTTAAGTCCTGGTCTCAGTGGCTTAAACTCACTCTGGGCACGAGTGTTTGCATGCCCAAGATCCCGAGAGGAGAAGGGACTGTGGCGTGGCCATCCCCCCTGGGGGATGATTTCTTGCTTTCTTTCTCTCTGTCTCTCTCGTGAGCTCATGCACCCTATAGAAAAAAAATTATATATATATATATGCTATATATAACTATATTAGAATCATTATTCTATGGCTATATTCACAGCTGGTATTGATTATTGTTTCAAAGTCTATCAAAAGCAATGTTTAGTTCATTTAGGAAAGTCAGAGAAAATGGTAGAAGCATTATATTAGACTTAGTTTCTAAGTCTAATATTCTATCTGTACATGCTAGCCCTGATGTATATCAGCCTCAGGGATCTGTGTCAGTCTATCATGTATTTACTAGGTCACCTGGATTTTAGATTGCTCTCCCACACAGGCCTAAGCAGCAAGTTTCATTCAGTAATATGAAGCATATCGAAGTCCAGTCAGAACACAAACCACTGTGAGTAAACAGAAGGAATTTAATAAAGAAATCTGAGTATGTGATGATGGGAGAGCTAAGAAGCAAAGCAGAAGATATTGTGGCAACTCAGATTAGCTACAGCAGGAAGTCATGACTACCCTTCTGCCAGAAGTATAAAAAAGAAAGAGTCCAAGGGTCCAGGTCAAAGGACAGACGTTGGAACCACAGCAGATCCGTCATGCTCCAGTTGGAAAAAACCACATTGTATGCAGTATAAAGATGTACAATGATTAAATGTAAATTTTTTTTAAATACGTATTAACAAAAAAGAAGATATAGCTTTTGACAGAGACATGGTAGGAAGAAGGTAACTAGAAAGGAAATGCCTTGGATTTTCCTGCTTTTCATCCTCTAGTTTCTCTATAGTGCCTTCCATTGGTTAAAGCTAGTGATAGCTAACTGACCCTGAGCCTGGAAAACCCAAACAGCAGGCGTCAGCTCCCCTAACTGCAGGGCAAAAGAAGAGGGAGGAAGTAAAGAGAAATAGGACAGAGGTCTATACTATGGAGAAAGGGGTGTCAACCAGTATTGGTATGCCACCAATTGATCATAATGCCAAAAATACAGAAAATGGCTGCTTTTCACGGCACATGTTTTGTGTGTTCACTCATATTTCTATTTAAGTCTTGGTTTCCTAGATTTAAGAAACTAAGTATTTACTGAGCACCAACTCTGTACCAAGTACTGTTCTGCTGTTGTTGCTTTGCTTTGTTTTGATTTTTGGAAGGGGAAGAGGTACTATGGAAAATGCCCAAAGTATAATTTCCTAGAAGTAGAATAAACTGCAAATTTGTATTAATGAATTAGAATCATTCCTACCAAAACGCGGTGTCCCCAAGTGGAAAGTTTTAAAAAGATTTCTCATAGTACAAGTCTGCCCTCTATTTTTGCTTTTTATTTGTGTACTATTGGCTATGACTCTGAAATCAAACAGGATGTGCAGTAGTACTCTTTACCAAGAATGAGTCTTCACTGTCTACATTTTAAGCCCTTACGAATATATTTCATAGAGGGCAGCAGGTGGCGTGGTGGTTAAGATGCTGGATTCCTAAGTGGGTGACTGTGGTTTGAGTCCTGAACCTGATGGCTTGAAAATTATGCCAGGAGCATGTTCACATATGCCCAAAATCCTGAGAGGAGGACAGGGAAGGGATTACAGCATTATCATCACCTCTTGGGTGTGAGTTTTCCTCTTTCCTCCCTCTGTCTCTGTTTGTCTCTCTCGAGCAAGTGCACACACCCTATTGCAAAAAAGATTTAAAAAAATGTGTTTCACAGAAATCTGTCTGATGTTAAAAACTGCATGTTGTAAATGAAGATAGAATAAGACAAGTGGCTTTTTTTTTTCTTCGGACTGTCAATTCTGCTTTAGCCAGGATTAGGAGAAATGATTAATAAGTGAATCAGATTAAATATGTAACTTTAATTAATCCTTTCACTCATTAAATAAATTTTGAGCAAATATAGAAAGAAGTATATTCTCATTAGTCTGCCATGAAAACCTACTATTTTAATTTAGTCCTGATGCCAGCTCTGATGTTGGAATCTTGCTTAAGTTTTCCTCAGGTGTGTTTTCTCTTTTGTGAACCAGAGCATGATCCCTGCAACAGCCAGGCCAAACATCTGTGGTGATTCTTGGACTATTTATACTTATTCAGGTGGTAAAAGTAGCAGGACCCACCAGCCTGGGTAGTCCATGTAGATACCAGGCACTTGGAAAGTTGCCAACTCAGCTTAGCAGTTTTACTTCTACTGAAAGATTGATTATGGCAAGAGGAGGAGGGTAGTAGGAGTTCCAATAATAAACATTTGCAAAACAAATTACTGTCCTAATAAAGATTAGTAAAAATTATGTAATAGCATTAATTTTTGTAAGTATTTAATAAAAAAATACCTGTAGATATTGCTTTCCTGGATATTGGTAGTATACACAAGCTGCACCTAAGACAAAAGTAAGAGAGAAAAAAAGAATGAATTTCTGTTATTAGAACGTTGGTGCTTATTTTATGCCCAAAGTACAGTATATTTTTAGCTTCTAAAAGGAACTGATAACCAACATATCTCTGAGGTCTTTTTCCATAAGGCAGAAAAATTACCAGTCATCCCACAGATAAACATCAAATTTTAAAGAGTAATTGGCATGTGAACAAATACAAGAACCCCTTTCCTGTCTAAAAAGCACTGAAACAGAGAAGGAAATCATCCCCTAAGAGAAACTACAAAACATACAAAATAGGTCAAAGCCCCTTAACCTAGACAGGATAGTGCCTATGGATGGACTCTAACACGATTAAACTTGACATATGAAAAGAAATAGCGTGTGACTCTAAAGAATGGTTCACCAGCAATTCATTTATTTATTGAACAGACATTTACTGAGCACTTGTCATGTGCCAGGGCTGGGTATGTAGCAGTTAAAAAACAAAACAAGGGACTAGCAGTTAGTGTAATGGCTATGTTGCTGGACTCCCACGTAGTTGACTGCAGTTCGAGTCCTGGACCCAGTGGCTTAAACTCTTGCCGGGTGCGTGTGTGTGCGTGCCCAAGATCCCAAGAGGAGAATGGAGGAGAGAAGGGATTGTGGTGTGGCCATTCCCCCTGGGGGGTGATTTCTCTCTTTCTGTCTCTCTGTTTCTCTCTGTCTTCCTGGCGAGCGTATGTGCCCGATAGCAAAAACCTCTCAAAAAAAAAAAAAACAACAACAGAGCCATATAGTGTCTCAGTGGTCAACACAACAGTATGTAATGCTGGACCTACATGGCAATGTTCTGGGTTCTTGTCCTGAAACCTTCTTATACATCTCAACCATGCACATGTGCATGTCTGCATTCTGGGTTGTCTAAGGCTACTGGTGGATCACAGTGTGAAGACCTCGTTAGTGGTCTCTCTCATGAAAAAAAAAAAGTAAAAACACAAAACAAAAACAAATAAAAACTAAACCCTGGAGCTTGGAGATTACATTCTGATGGGGATCAACAGATACTTCAGGCTGATAGGTAAAATCAGTCAGAGAAGTTGGGAAGTGGGGCAGAGACAGCAACTGTAAATACATTAATCAAAGAAGGACACATTATGAAGAGGACACTTGAGCAAGAACTTATAGGAGGTGACAAGAGTAAGCAGATACTTGGAATAACACAATCCAGGAACAGCAAAAAAAGCACCCTAAAGCATCTGTGGAACAAGGAGGCCAATGCAGCCTGAGCAGTTAGGCCAGGGATGCAGGGACAGAGTAAAAGGTGCCAGATCATGCATAGAGTATAAATATACATAATGTACTGTTCAAACTGGGACACTTGATACAAATGGGGGTAATAATTCATATTATATAATTTCTGAAATAAGTATTTATTGACTAAAATTATATTGGTAGATTTGTAAAATAATTATTTTCAAAACTTATTTTTAAAATAAAATGTTCTAAATTACATTTTTTTTAAAGTTTTTCTATAGGACACATGTGTTCACTAGAGACAGAGAGAAAGAGAAAGTGAGAAATCATCCCCTGGGGGGATGGTCATACTGCAATCCTTTCTCCTCTCTTCTCCTCTTGGGATTTTGAGCATGTACACACACGTGCCTGGAGTGTTTTTCAGGCTGCTGGATCTTAAACTGGAGCCATGCAATAGGCCACGTGGAATCCAGCCACCTTACCCACCACACCACTGCTGACTTTCTAAAGTATTTTTAAGTGATACATATTAAATAAAATTAAAAATACAAATAGTCATTGATTATCTGAACATGTAAATATAGCATAATTGGATAATGGTACTGCAGTAGGATTGATATTCTGCTAGGCAGATCTATTGGAGGGTTGCAAGTTCACCCCTGGAGACCTCCCAGACCTCTCATGATTAGGACTGGTTGAAGCTGTGGAGGAGGGTGTGGCTCACAGTACTGAGACCCTGTTAAGAGTGTTGTGTTTCTGTGTCTCTCTTGCTCATGAAGCAAAAAATAAAAGATTTAAAAAATAGCACAAGAAATAATCATTTCTGGTATATACTCACATACCTTAATTGATTACTTAGCCATTGTTTCTAATGCTGTGATGTGGAAATTTTTCTGGAAAATGTGCTGTTTTCAATATGTTATTAATACTTTCATAAAACAGCAACTTCTTAAAAGCCTCATTTTATGCTTAACATATTTGAAATTGTTGACATTTCCTTGATGCTTCTTTGTAAACCATAATGCTTTCAAGTGAGAAAATACTGCCTCTCCAGATAAGGGAAAACACGTGTGTCACAGCAAGTTCTGCTAAATACTAATATGCTCAATTCTATTTTTTTATTTTAAAATGTATAATAGCAGTTACATCGCTGAACTCCCATATAGCCAACTGCAATTCAAGTCCTGGACCTGGTGGCTTGAAAACCACATGGGGTGCGTGTGAGTACATGCCCAAGATCCCAGGCGAGGAATAAAGGAGAAAGGATTGCAGTGTGGCTATTCCCTCTGGGGGATGATTTTACCCTTTCCCTTTCATTGCCTGTCTCTTTGTCTCTGGCAAGCACATGTGCTCTAAGGCAAAAACAGAAAGAAAGAAAGAAAGAAAGAAAGAAAGAAAGAAAGAAAGAAAGAAAGAAAGAAAGAAAGAAAGAAAGAAAGAAAGAAAGCAGGGCAGGAAGAAAGGCAGGCAGGCAGAGAGAGAGAGAGAGAGAAAGAAAGAAAGAGAGAGAGAGAGAGAGAGAAAGGAAGAAAATTAGTTAATATTGGGCTAGCCCCATAGTTTAGTGGGTAAGGGAACCAGATCCCATATGGTCAACCACGGGTTATAAATCACATGGGAGTCCAGCAACATAACCATTATGTCAACTGCTGATCCCACCCTGTGGCAATCTACCAGGATTCTAAGCAAGCACGCATGTGTACCTGGTGTGTTCTGCTGGGACTAGAACTCAAATCTGCTGGCCATGTAGGATCTGGCTCCCCTCTATGCAGTGCTTAACCACTGTTCTGTGAGGTCATCCAAGTATTTACTATTTACTTTTTAAGTTTCTTCTTTCTTTTTTTTAATGTTTGCCATAGAGCATCTTTGTACTCACCGGAGGGACACAGAGAGAGAGAGAGAGAGAGAGAGAGAGCGCAAGAGAGAGAAAGTGAGAAATCATCCCCCAAGGAGGATGACCAAACCTCAGTTCCTTTTCTTCACTCACTTCTTGGGATTTTGGCACTTATGCACACCCACTTGTGTAATTTTCAAGCTGCTGGGTCTGGAGCACCATGTAGGAGTCCTTTGCTATAACCACCATACAACCAGCTGGCCCCTTTCTTCCATGAGAAGAAAGAGAGAGAGAGGGGCATGCCCAACTGGGACCGTGCTACAATCCACTGCCAGCCTCAATCAGCCTGGCCCATAGGTACATGTGTATGTTTCTGGCATGTATATGAAGACTCGAGTGAAAACTGGGACCTTCACATGTGGCTTCAGCATTGCGGAGTGTGGCAATACCACTGTGCCATCATGGTTGAACAATTAAGTATTTACTTTTGAAGAGGATGCCAATGTTCCTTCACCGTATTTATTGCATCTGGTTTTTAAAGAGACAACAATATATCTGAATGCTATATATATATATATAAATGATATTGCTGTTTGTTCCCATGGTTAATGGTAAATGTTGACAAATACTCTGTGCAAGTTACATATTCATAATTAATGTTCTTCAGAAAATTAAAAATGCATTTTTGGGGGACCAGCATTTGGTATAATGACTATGTCGCTGGAATCCCATGTAGTCGACCATGGTTCGAGTCCTGGACTCGGTGGCTTCAACTCATACCGGGCATGTGTGTGTGCATGCCCAAGATCCCAGGAGGAGAATGGAGGAGAAGGAATTGTGGTGTGGCCATCCCCCCCGCGGGGTGATTTCTTGCTTTGTCTCTCTGGCAAGTGCAGGTGCCTATAGTAAAAACCTCTCAAAAAAAAAAAAAAAGAAAAAAAAGAAAATGCAGTTTTTATTTGTTTTGAACTAACTGCTGAAAGCTTTATTGTAAAATTTCAAAAACATTACTAAATAATAAAAGAGATCTTTACATATGAAAATAACAAAATTGGCTCAAAACATTCAGATTGCATTTAAAAACATTAAAAAATACTATACTCTATGACAAGAATAATTAATCTCTATTCCCTAAACATAGTCTTTTTGACGGTAAGCCATGATTTCTCTACTGACCCTGAGAAAGCTCTATGCATCTCACAGTTCACCATCTGATCCATGACATGTCATGAGTGGTGGTATACTAAGTGCCAGGAGAGGAATAAGTCTAAAAAATTTTCCTGCCATCATTTAAGACCACAGGAGTTAGCTGTCACTGATTGCTTGTGCATAGGCTCTAAGCTTCAATAATTAAATACCCTGCATATAATCCTTGAAAGATTGCTGCTAGTTAGGTTTTGGCTTAACAGGATCAGGAGAGACAGAGGAAGAAGTAATCATATAGATTATGGTTATAATCTAACAGAATGAAGACAATAGCTCCCTCATAGAGGGATAAATAAGTATCTTCAAAAGTGTGAGTAGGGGGGCAGGCAGGTAGCATGGTAGTTAAGGTGCTGGACTCCCACATGGCCGAATTTGATTCAAGTCCTGAACCTCGTGGCTTACTTTCTCCCTCTCCCTCTCTCCCTCCCTCTCTCTCTCTCTCTCTTTCTCTCTCTCTCTGTCTCTGGTCAAACTGAATAATAATAATAAATAAAATAAATAATTCTTTTTTAAAAAAGTATGAGTATGTATCTGTGGAAAAGGACAGTTACAAGGGGAACTTACCCATGAATTCAAATTTCAGGTCTGTGCTACTGATTAATCCATATAGTATACAAGGATTAATCAGAATATCATAATTCAAAAACACCAGAAATAAAAAGCATCTATTTAATTCCTCTTATACTAATTCCAATCTCATCAAGTGACCTTAAATTGTAAATTCATAGGCTTATCCATATGAAAAAATTATATGTATCAGCATATACTATATCTGTTTTATGTGATGGTTTTAGCATTAATCATAAATTACTAATTTGGGTTTCAGGGATTTTATATATATATGTATATACACACACATACACATAATGCACACACCTATACATATGAGATATTTATATCATATATATATATATATACACCAAATATATCATATATATGTATATATATATGTCATAAATACATATCTTATATATACAAGATGTGTATATGTGTATATATGTGTGCACGTGTGTGTGTGTGTGCAGATATGTGAGTTTGGTTGATTTCCTAGAGCATCATCATTTCTAGGTAGAGTATAACTGAATCACCTAATCTATTCAACAGAAAATAAGACCTGAAAGTAGTAACTGAAAGGTCACTCCAAGAAGACTTGTCTATCCTGCCATCTAGACTTCGCCACATGATCTCTGGCCTACTGAGTGCTATTCCAGTCAACTGCAACATGATACCTAGACAGTAACATCTGAATATCCTAAGTGAATCAGGCAATAATCTGCCAGTTACCAAATCCTCATTAGAAAAAATGTATTAGATCATCAGGAAAGTCATGATGCATTTTTGCACAGAAAAATATAGAAAAATACGTCATAACTTTCCCAATAACCTAATAGTTCTCAAAGCTTATTCTGTAATGATCTTTTTTTCAATTTTCCTCCTCCTCTCTCTCTTTCTCTCTCTCTCTGTCTCTGGTCAAACTGAATAATAATAATAAATAAAATAAATAATTCTTTTTTAAAAAAGTATGAGTATGTATCTGTGGAAAAGGACAGTTACAAGGGGAACTTACCCATGAATTCAAATTTCAGGTCTGTGCTACTGATTAATCCATATAGTATACAAGGATTAATCAGAATATCATAATTCAAAAACACCAGAAATAAAAAGCATCTATTTAATTCCTCTTATACTAATTCCAATCTCATCAAGTGACCTTAAATTGTAAATTCATAGGCTTATCCATATGAAAAAATTATATGTATCAGCATATACTATATCTGTTTTATGTGATTGTTTTAGCATTAATCATAAATTACTAATTTGGGTTTCAGGGATTTTATATATATATGTATATACACACACATACACATAATGCACACACCTATACATATGAGATATTTATATCATATATATATATATATACACCAAATATATCATATATATGTATATATATATGTCATAAATACATATCTTATATATACAAGATGTGTATATGTGTATATATGTGTGCACGTGTGTGTGTGTGTGCAGATATGTGAGTTTGGTTGATTTCCTAGAGCATCATCATTTCTAGGTAGAGTATAACTGAATCACCTAATCTATTCAACAGAAAATAAGACCTGAAAGTAGTAACTGAAAGGTCACTCCAAGAAGACTTGTCTATCCTGCCATCTAGACTTCGCCACATGATCTCTGGCCTACTGAGTGCTATTCCAGTCAACTGCAACATGATACCTAGACAGTAACATCTGAATATCCTAAGTGAATCAGGCAATAATCTGCCAGTTACCAAATCCTCATTAGAAAAAATGTATTAGATCATCAGGAAAGTCATGATGCATTTTTGCACAGAAAAATATAGAAAAATACGTCATAACTTTCCCAATAACCTAATAGTTCTCAAAGCTTATTCTGTAATGATCTTTTTTTCAATTTTCCTCCTCTTTATAAAGCAACAATCTTTAAATGAATACTAAAGGTTTTTTTTTTTTTTGCTCTTTCTTGAATATATGATTCTTTCATATCATTTTATGTGGGATACGATTAGTTTTCAGAAATGCACACAAACATCTATATTCAAGGTACTACAATAAAGGAAAAGTTACCGGCATGGAATTTCTGCTATCCTGAACAGGAAGGATCTCTGAAGTCTCAGCAATGTTACTCTCTTTTCTGGAATGCTGACCCAGGGAAATAGGATCTGGGTTGGAACATTCATCATTGTCCTGGAGGGTGGAACGTTCCAGTTCCTCTAATAAGGCATCTATATCATAAAAAACAAACAAACAAACAAACAAAAAAAACAAACAAAAAAAACAAGAGAATCATTATTCAGAATATGTGACTTTCTGCAATTATTTCCCCCTTAAGTATTCCCACTGTACTCCCATTCATCTCCTTCTTTTGGATGAAGGTTATTTTTAAATACTTTCTCTTACTCCTTACTTCACTTCAAGAATGTGGTCTATTCTACCAGGAGGTGTTTAATGACTCCTCATATTGTGGCTTTTTTTCTTATTTCCTATGGTTATGTTCAATGTCATAATCTTACAATTTGATTTCTTACATTTCAGGTATTAATTTTTAATATTCATTTCTGAGACTGCTCACAAAGATCCCTAATTAGAAAGAAAATTTTCCAAATATTAGGTCATCGGGAAAGCAATGATGCATTTTTCTGTGCAAAAATGCATCATGACTTTTCAGACAACCCAATATTCTCCTACCAAAAAAAAAAAAAGCTATTATATTATTGTTTTCAGAGCTATATCATGTGGGCCAGCAGGTGGTGGTTAAGGCGCTGGACTCCCACACGGCTAACCAAGGTTTGAGTCCTAGACCTGGTAGCTTGTTTTCTCACGTTTCCTCTCTCTCCTGTGTGTGTGTGCATGCTTTCTATAGCAAACTTTTAAAATAATAATAACATAAATTAAATAATACTTAAAGAAGTAAAGAAAAAATACCCTGATGATTTTTATCCCTGATGATTGTTTTCCTTAAATCTCAAGAATTCTGCCAAGCACATAACAAAATTCTCAAAACAAAATATAAGTATTCTGTATTTTAGGTATGGAAAGAAAAACAGGTTGTGGAGAAAATAGAGATATTGCAAAATCAAGGAAGATATCAAATTCAAATAGTTGGGGTTTATTTCTCTTACAATTTTCATGGGAAAAAACAATGGGCTTCACAAGTATCATACTAGTACCTTTCTGTTATAATGAAATTAATATTAATTAATATAAATCAACATATGCTACATATTGTGCTCAAGAGTCTACAAATTTTATTTAATTATCCTAGCTTTTTGAGACAGAAATTGTTTTCATTTCGTAGATCAAGAGTTAGAATTTACTTAACCTCAAGAATGAAGAACCAGGACTTGAACCTTGGCTCCTATTCTAATTAAAAGTTGAAAGATAAAAGCTCTGTTCTCACATGATTCTCTGGTCATCTTGAGCATGACATGTTCTAGTCTGAAGATGTTTCCCCACTTACATAGTGGAGCAATGGGATTAGAACAGCATTTTTCAAATTATAGGGTAAGAGCCACTAGTAGATTTCTAGTGGATTTCTTATAACTATGGATTATAGTTTTTAAAAGTTTATAAATATTGGATTATATTATTTCTAAAGACCTGTCTAGGTCTACAGTTCTGATGGGAGAAAAATAAACTTTGAAAGCTATTTAAAAAGGGAGAAGAAAACCCCAGATTTTAATTTATTTCCTATATTGGAAAAAATTGGTATTTCTTAAGGACATAAAGAAAAATCTAATCCTCTTTTAAAATGTACCCATTCCAGAAGAGAGAGAGAGAGAAAGAGCAAGGTGTATATATCACCCCTGACAGGGTCTATATCATGACCTACCCCCAGCTTCAGCTAGCCTTGATCACGAGCACACAATGCCTGGCATACTCGGGGAGTTCTTTAGACCAAAGCAGTACCCTTCCCATGTATGTCTGTTTGTAAAGACTGTGTTTTATCACTGTACTACTATGAAGCTCTAACTTGTTTTGTTTTTAATATTTTGCAAGGGGCCAGCAGGTTGCATGGTGGTTAAGGTGCTAGACTCCCACACAGCCAAGTGCAGTTGAAAGCACAGTTCAAGTCCAGGACCTGGCAGCTTGCTTTCTCACTCTCTCTCTCTTTCTCTCTATGTCTCTCTCTAGTCAAATTTTAAAAATAATAAATAAAATAAAGTCTCTAAAAAATTAATATTTTGCAGAGGACTTGTTGGAAGGGAAGAAGTTATACAGTAACTTTCATGGGGAATGGACACATCACAATCCCTTCTCCATTTCTCCCTCCTCTTGAGATTTGGGCATGCATGCACAGGAGGCTAGCATGTTTTTCAAGCCACTGAGTCCAGGATTCCAACTAAGTAGTTGGCCATGTGGGATCCAACTGCCTAACCACCATGCCACAGGATGGCCTGCCCTCATGGTTTGTACAAATGAAATGAACAGATTTCTCTCCACCATCTGTCTCACAAAAAATGTTGACATTTATGCCACATTTCAGAGATAAGTAAAAAGAGCTAAACTCATCAGGGCAAAAGTAGACTGTAATGGGAAAAAGAGATGCAGTGGGAATCCACAGATAAAAAAGACTTAAGAAACATAACTAATTTCAATGCATAAACCTTATTTGCATCATTAAATAAATGTTAAAAAAGGAAACAATCAAGGATATTGAACTCTATCTAGATATCCAATAATATTAAATGAATACTGTCCACTTATTTTAGATGTGCCAATATTTGACAATATTAAGTAATTTCTGTTCATTTTTTAGATATGATAGTGGTATCTCATGATATTAAAAATTAAACCTGTTATGAGTATAATACTGGCAGTATAATTATTGGTATAAATACATATATACACACAAGCATGTATATTTCAGAAATTAATAATGAAGTATTTACAGATTTAATGATGTAATATCTAAAATTATTATAAAATAATATGAGGATGGAAAAAATGGGTGGGGATATATACATAAAATAAGCTTGGTGAAGAGATGATTGTTTAAGCTGTTGATGGAATACATCGTATTTCATTAAACTATATTCTCTACTTTTGCATATTTTAAAATTCTCTATAATCAAAGAAAAAGAAAATTAAGGTAGAAATAGAAAGTCAGGCCAGCCTGTGGCATAGTGGTTAAGGCAGCTGGATTGCACATGGCCTACTCCATGGTTTGGTTCCAGACTTGGCATCCTGAGAAACATACTGTGTGCATGTGCATGCATGCCCAAAATCCCAGGACGAGGGAGAAATGAAGAAGGGATAGCAGCATGACCTTTCGCCATGCTAGGTACTTTCTCACTTTCTCTCTCCAGGGAGCACATGTACCCACTGGCAAAATTAAAAAGAAAAAGAAAGTAAAATTTTTATCTCAGAATTCTATTTGCCAGACAATTACAAATTCAGAATCACAAATATTTATTCTCTTTCAAAAATGAATTCCTTTTTTTATTTTCTAAGCCTTGCTCCAAACAGAAGTCACAGATCCTCTTGGATTAAACAACAACAAAAGTGCAATAAGAATTACAGGAAAGGGGAGACAATAACACTAAGAGGAGTTACCCTTAGCAGCACCAGCTAACCAAAGATTTTAAAGCTCTTTTTGTGGGTCATGAGTTAACAGGCCTTTCTCTTCCTCTTTCCTGAGTGTACATTATCACTAACAGCCCAAGGTTATGTCTTTTGCCAGATTCTGTAATTTGAAGATGACTAATTTCAGTATAACAAATACAGGATTACTAGGGGGAGAGGGGAGGCCACTACTAGACTAAATTCTATAGTCCTTCTCTACAGTCCCTTACCTGAGAGCATCAATATCAACATCAACATCAAAGGGGGTAAAGTAAGGTCTCTTGAGGGTCTCCATGCATTGTAATGATTTTATTCTGAGCTAGAGTCTGTTCCTGGTTCCTCTTTATCTATCATCCACATATAATGAGGGTTTAGATAAAATCTTTCAGTTAAGATAAAAGCTACTAACTTTCAAGGCAGTACTACAAAGAGGAATTATTTGCTAACCTGGGTCAACCTGTCCAGGATTCTATTTCTCTGCAAGTAGAAAAAAGACCCATTCCAAGTCTCTACAGCAGTTATTGGGCTGATGACAACCTGAAGATCTTGAGGTGTAGTAGCCATTAACAGCCTGTTGAGGTCTAACCAACTGGATAATCTACACAAACAATAGCTTTCAGGCCGCTTAGTACTTTCTACATTTCTGGATATTAAATTTCTCTAATATCGATAGTGCTGAGGATCTGTATAACTATACTTTTTTTTTTTTTTCACGTCTGCTATCCCACTGGTCAGAAAACCTGAATCAACACAATTCTAAAACAGAACATACCTTCTAGCTTAATTGGTTTTGGTGTCAGGTGGTCTAGAGAGCAACATTGAACAAGTTACTTTTTAATTTTCTCATGGGTAATGTATTTCAAAGGGTTGCAACAAACACTAAAATAGCATGTAAAAAATGTCTAGTTTAACCTAAGTCCCTAAGTAAGCAGTAGTTCCTTTTTGAATTATTTTCATGAAAATCATTAGGAATCGCTAAAAAGAAAAGAAAAAAAAATGGATCCTTACAGAACTCCGGCAGAAATGCAAATTTACTCAACACTCCTACAGAACAGAAATTTGGATTCCACTCTAAAATCAAAATACAGCCTACTTCAGTATCAAAGTAGACTTTACCTCCAAAACAGTTTAGTATTTATTAAACACCTTTTCCTCTTTATTAACATCTCTTCCTCCCTCCTGTTTGCCTTTCTTCCTTCCATTATTCCTCTGGTTACCAAATCACCTCACTCCACCTCAAAACAATAAAAAAATAAAATAAAATAAAAAAGACAATGAAAGTGAGGACAATATGCAAGATGTTTTTGTTTTCACTTTTGACATACCCCAAATATACGCAAACTGAGACACAGTGAAAAATAATAAACACGGCATGAAAACTGGGTAAAGATTAAGAGACTCAACAAGTTATAACTACCAGCAAAACAGTTGGCAAAGACTTATGAAAAGAGGCCCAAGATTGAAAAACCTTATATTACTCCAAGGTTTGAAATCAGGAATCTTTCTGGGTAATACAGACAAAAATTACACTGATTTTAATCACCTCAGAGTGAAAAGAAGTATATTTTCCGGCCGCAGTTATCCGTTCCTTCTTAATTCCTCTGAATAAAAAGCTTAGCACGGAGCCAGCCCTACAGCCTAGTAGTTAAGGGAGCTAGATCCCATATGACCAACAACAGTTCAAGCTTCTGTCCAGGCAGCTTGAAAAAACATACCCAAATCCTGACAGGATGGAGAAATGGAGAAGGGACTGAGGCACGGCCACACCCTGTTGGGGAGTGTTCTCTGTCCCTTGGTCTGTCTTCTAAGCACGTATACCCTCTGACAGTTTTTCTTTTTTAAAAATCTTAGCAACAAAATATCACTGGAATTACATTGCTATGTCTTCTTGATTAAGTACTAAACTATGAACAAATAAAACAAATGAAACCATTCTGGCCTTCTCTAATCTCTGTAGATCTCTCAAATTTATGCTTCTATTCCATTCATCCTCCTTATAATAACCCCCTTCCCCCTCTTTATTTTCCCCCCCAAAATCACATATTTGTAGTTGTCTAGCTGTGTGGCCACCCAGTGATGATCAGTAGCTCCCAACAGGAAAAATGTCCATAATAAAATAAAAATTTCAATCATGATTCAGTCCAAAAGTATTTGTTGAGTGTTTACTCTGTGGTTAGCACCAAACCCATTACCTATTGTGCCACTGCAAACAGTGAACCCATAGTTCCCCCCAAACAATCATAGTTCCCAATGCTTCACTCTTGGTTGGGCTGAGGACAGAGTTGGGAAGTGAAAATAAAATCTTCCAGCACTTTCCTCAATCTGGTTACAAGGACACCCCACCACGCATGGACATAGCAGCCAATCTTCAACCCCTCAGACTTTCCTCCAACAAGTTCCCACTCACCCAACTCTTCCATCGCCCCGCACTTGGATGCTCAGGTCTCACAGGGTGAGAAACTGCTTTGGCATGTGCTGAAGGAGAGGACCGCAAAGCAACTGAATGAGACGGCGTAAAGCAGCCTCTATAACCCTTTTTGGTTCCTGTATTCGCTTAGCACTTCCTCTCTTCTGATTTGGTGTTTTTTTCTTTATTTGGTAGGTCAGGAGACTGACATAGAACAGCAGATAGTAAAACTTGAGTTCTTGTAGTACATTGTACAATGTTAAAAATCCAAAATTAATATTGCAAAATTTGAGCACTTATCACCTGTTAGGATTCACCTTGAATTCATGGGAATGGCAGATTTACCTGTGTGTTGCTCCCATGTGCAGATATCCCACTGTGATGAGTATCAGCCTTTTTTTTCTTTCCTGTGAAACTGGGGAGTTGGGGGGAGGGGGCTGGAGGCATACTTTGCATCTTAAAGTTCCCATCAGAGTTAACTAGCAGGAAATTCACTTTGATGTCTTTACTTACTCAGAAATCATGTGCTTACCTGCATACTTGTACAGATTATAAATTCCTTAAAAGGGTAGAAGTGATTCCTACTTGGATTTCCAGGATCTGGTCCAGAATGCAAAAATCTAAAGGAGTCATAAAGAATGAAGCTGGAAGGTGTAAGGTAGTAGGTACTAAACTGTGGAAATCTCAGTTAAGCATAATTCCTGCCTCATAGAAATTTCTCCTAAAAGTGACACTAAGGTTAACTTTTTTTTTTTTTTGGAGAGATTTTTGCTATAGGGTATGTGTGCTCGCCAGACAGACAGAGAGACAGAGAGACAGAAAGCGAGAAATCACCCCCCAGAGGGAATGGCCACGCTGCAATCCCTTCTCCTCCATTCTCCTCTTAGGATCTTGGGCACGCATGTACATGTGCCCGGCATGAGTTTAAGCCACTGGGTCCAGGACTCGAACTGCGGTTGACTCTGTGGGAGTCCAGCGACGTAGCCATTACACTAACTGCTGGTCCCCACTAAGGTTAACTTTTTACACAGCTTTTATTCATTTTGAATGAAATATTTACAAAAAATCTTACTATGAGAGGACAGTATGTAAAACGATTATAATTATGGCCCTGTAATAGACATTCCTGTCTTTACCATTGGTGAAATAGGTTTAAGGAATAGCTCTGCTTACTGTAATCAACTTTTTTGACTTCAAAGTCTGTGATCTTTCCTCTACAATTGTCTTTTTGTAAAAGAATATTTATTCCAGTAGGCCAACAGATGGCGTAATGGTTATACCACTGGACTCCCACATAGTCAGCCTTGGTTCAAGTCCCAGACTCAGTGGCTTAAAACTCATGCCAAGCGTGTGTGCATGTGCGCCCAGAATCTGGAGAGAATGGGGGAGGGATTTCGGTGTGGCCATCCCTTTCTGGAGGTGATTTCTCGCTTTCTGTCTCTCTGGTGAGCATGCACACCCTATAGCAAAAATCTCTTTTAAAAAAAATTATTCGTTCTCCATTCCACTGTCTGTAATTTTTTTTTTTAATAGAAAGGAGATTCCCCTCTGTATTACTTTGAGCAGCCATTGGATGTCAGTGCTGCTTCAGAAGTCTGCTTGCTGCAGTTACAAAAAAATTCCCATTGATACACCAAACTATTTTTACAACTAAAAACGACATTAGCCTTATGAAAGTCCAAAACAGTAGAGAATATAAAATATTTGCTCAATTCTAAGTGGTAACTGGGTTAAAACACTGGAAGGAAAAACGTACTCCAGAGCTTCTCTACAGCTTACCTGAATGATTAATGTTAAATTTAGAATTGCATCCCCAGCTCTTGTCTTTAATCCTCTTTCTTCTGGGGCTTTTAAGCCTGGATCCTTTATTTTTTCCAAGGGTAAAGTACTGTCTCTGTAAATCCTTCCTTGATTACAGTAAAGGAAAGCAAGAAAAGGAATGTGAGAGACTCATTGCATCAAGGACTGTAACTTCCAGGTGAGCAAATGGAAACTCGCTTTTGATACATAGAGAAGGGGATTTAGTTGCACACTTTAACAAGCAGGAAGGTGATTTCTGACAAAGCTGCTATTCAGACCGTACTTCCTGTGCAGCAGAAACATTTATAAACCGCAGAAGCAGGTGGCTTCGGGGTAGCGAGCTTGAGACCTTCAGCTGCTCTGTAGGTCACGCGAACCACGTTAACAACCCTTCCCCCTTCCTCAACACACCAATGTCTAGTAAACAAGCATCTTTACAATCCATTTCATAAATTTTATTAAACAGCCAAACTGTGTGGTAGGTATCGTGCTAGGCGCCCAAGAGTATCACGGAACTACGATTAAGTTCCTTGCCTCCAGGGGCACAAGGTAACAAGATGAAAACTGCAGACGTGAACGCTACCAGATCCCACAGAAGGAGGTGCCATATGACGAAACCAACATTAAATTAAGGCTATCATGTGGCTATCCAGGAAAAGTTACGGCAATGCCACGGCGTAAAGTAAGCGAAAGCAGAACACACCCTCCCAGACAATTCCGACTGGCAACTAGTTAAACGTTTGAGCTTGGATGCGCGCAGGCGTCACGGCCTAACCCGGAAACGCCGCCTCCCCGGAAAAATTTATTCGAACTGGGGAAAGTAAACTACCTTTCCCGTCGTGAATCAGCACCAAACTCCCAGCATCCTCTACGCCTCTGGTTTCCTATCTTTTTTTTTTTCCCTAAAACGTAGGATAAACAGAACTTCATCTCCCAGGATGCTCCGGACTAAATTGATCACACGCACGCGCCAGAAGGCGGGTCTTCGTTGCCCTCACGACCCCACCTCCATTCTATCGCCGCCATTTTTTCAGAGACTTTCATCCGGCAGCCGACGGGGCTTTTTTTCTTAAAGGAGAAGCGACAGCTCAAAAAATTTCCCCCTTCTCCCCTCAAGACCTGGCGGCGCTGGGGACAGAAAGGACAGAGACAGGGAAGGGGTCGAGTTGGAAGCAAAAGAACGCTCAGGCTACTTCGGCGTAGGGAAGATAGTGCCCTTGTGGTATTAGCAGCTCCTTAGGGAGGCAGGTGCGCGCGCAGCCAGTCCAGGGTGCGCGCGAGGCGCGGAAAGAGGTGCGTTTTCTTCCCACCCATCTTCCTCGCGACACCTGTCCCTCCCGCCGCCCCTAACTAGCATTGAACTTCGGAGGGGAGAGAAAAGGTCATTTTGGGATTGTCGCGAGACGCAGCCGTTTAACGGTGAGAACGGGTGCGCGGGGAAGGAAACCTCGCGCGCTCCCTTGGAGCTGGTTCCTGATTGGTCGGCGTTAGGGGTGGGGGAGGGAACCTGGAACGTCGCTGCGTGTCAGGCCGCGAGGGGCGGGGCAAGGAAGTCGTTCCTCCTCTCCGATTGGCCTGCCGAGCGTCTGTCGCGGGGGCGGGGGCGGCGGCAGCGAAA